TGCTGATACAGTAACTTGGGTTTTGTTTGGATTTTTTTCCCTCCCAGCCCTTGACATCAGCCTTATTTTTGTAGCAGATAGGAAACAAGTCTTCTGTTGTGTTTGTAAACTGAGAATCTAATCACTTCCCTACCTCATATATTCTACTGCAGAAACTCTCTGGTCACCAGAGTCACCAGAAGCAGACATTTGTCAAGCTCTCTCTCTTGTTCTCAAGTCTTCCATTGGAAGATTTCTCTTATCATTGTCACATGACACGAAGGGGACAATTATCCCATGAGCAAAAACCATGTGCATGTGAAAGAGAATAGCTGGGAATGCCTGGCAGTGTAAAACCACTTCAAAATTTTAATATTAAAACACTAAGCCAATATGTGTTCTGCAAAAACCAGCCAATCCTAAGTGTACTACAATGGCCAAGCCATAATAATTGCCAGCTGCACTGTCTTTCTCCTGCGGGAATAAAAATGGTAAGTATGCCATGGAGCATGACTCTGTGTGTTTGTGTAACTGAAAAGTTGATAGAGGCTGCAACGATGCAAAGTATGTGAACATTATTGGGCCATTTTATGAAGAGACAAACTGAGGGCAAAGGTTTATGACTTCTCAAAAGTAACACATGGCAGAGCAAGGAGCTCCAGGCTCTATACTTCTGCTTTACAAGCCTGTAAAGAGTACATTAGTGCCTAGCTCTTGCTATGTGGTTTAGATACATTACACTGTTAAATTCCATCTTTTTTTTTTTTAGTGTATTACTGCTCTAATTGCCCACTAGTAATTTGGGTTAGTTTTACTGGACTGATTTTTGTTCTGGAGCTACAAGTGATCAACTACTAATATTAACTCACAGCTTTCTGTATGAGCTGATGCTGAGTGAGACCAAACATATGGGAAATTGTAATACTACCTCAGAGTTCAACACACTCTTCCCTTGGTGTATTATTTCAACCTCCTCATGTTGTTCCTTCACAGCAGGAGGCTGCCATACAGCAGAATTACTATGGATAACATATGTACATATACTCACAGGGGTCACTCACCATTGTAAATTGTTTAAATTATATACAGCACTGTATTCATAAAGGGGAGACTGAAATGTGTTTGAATTTATGCTTTTTTTTTTTTTTTCTCCAGGGGTATACAGAACTCTTTCCATATTTCTGACGGACTAAACATTTTCCCCAGCATACTAACTCTCACAAATACTGCATGCAGGAAGTGTTTGAATCTGCAGAGATAATTTAAGTAAGCGAGAATGACATTTGGCCAGGATACTCTTACTAATGTATTGATCTTGGCCCTACTTATGATTGCTCTTCAGTAAAAAGCTCCTGTGGTACAGACACTGCTTTTGCTGTGTGTTGAAATTGAGCATTGGTGTTACTAGAAGAGTCAGACAATGGTTTCTTGGATTTGCCTGAGAAATATTTCCTTCATGTGAAGCCTCATGTGAGAGTGAAAGAAGGTGAAAGAGTTCGTGTTATTATTAAAAAAAAAGAAGAAAAAAAAAAAAGGTACTGCTATTCAGTGAGGTACCAGCAGAGAAAACAGGAAGTCCTTACCACGCAGATTCCAGATCCATCAAGGCATCTGTTTGCATTACCATTACAGTTGCAAGGAGAGCATTTTCCTGCGCTGGTACGGTAAAATCCTTCTTGGCATCCCTGCAATGAAAAAAATAAAAATAAAGTCTTTCCTATGCATTCGTATTCGGAGAGTTAGGTTTGGCTGAGAGGCAGGGGAAAGCAAGAGTTACAACCACCAGGTCTCCCTCCCCAGAGCACACTGCACAACCCCATCGCAGCAGACCACACACACGCTGCTGAACTCGCGTCTGTTCTTTCACTCTCTGCCCTGCTGCCGCCTTTTTCGCCTTACGGTATTTTATCTGTTTTTTCCTCCCCTGGCCAGCAGTGAGTGCCTGCCTGCGGGTCGGGAGCTGGCAGATTCTTACTGTATTTTGTACTAGAGGATGAGTTAGCTAGGAATGATGATCTTTATTCAGTAAAGAAAGTGTATTTATAGGAACGGAATAGCTTTTACTTAAAAAAGAGAAACTTTAAGAAGTTTACTGAAAGCAGACTTTGTACTGGCTTTGATGAGCTTTGCATGAAGAGCCTAGAGGAGACAGAAACATCTGCAAAGATCAATGCCCTCTGGATGAAAGCTGGCTGGCTGCTGTGAGGGGCTACCAACACAGGGCTGGCTGGTTGTTGATCTGTGAGACTGGCGAGATGTGGCAGCAGTAAGCTGCTGCCAGTCCAAGAGGTAACCAGTCCCTGGGAGATACAACAGTCCTTCAATGGGACATAATATATAAATGGGAGGAGATTGCATGAAAGGTAAAATATTTCTGCTATTTCTTAAATGTGGAGCCACACCTGATCTATATCATTCAGTACTTTTGAGAACTTACCAAAGGTTACCAAAATCAAGCAGAAGATTGTAAGTATCTAAATGACCTTCTTTTACATACTAACTAGAGCAATAATATAAGGAATCAGAAACACAAATAAAGCTATAAGATGCCCCTTTAAGACTGGAAAATAAAATTAAAGAGGATGGCTTTCATTTGATATATTATGTGTAAATTCATGTTCTTCTCTGAGGAACTTCTACCTCATTATGCAAAGCTGGTGAGACACGCACAGGTTGACCTCAGGAGCAACCTCTGTTACTCAGGCAGCACCTGCTTACCTGTGCAGTCTCTCTGTGTTACAAGTACTATGCTAGATCCATGCAGACTTGTGAATTTTTGGATCCTGTTTCTCTTACCCTCACCTACCTCTTGCAATGTTATTGCAGAGCTGATGTGAAGGCCCTAACAGGTCATTTAGATCTCCAGAAATTATTTCCCATACTCTGTTTCTGCTCGCATTTACAAACACTATCCCTGAGGTGGCTGTCAGAGTCTGAGATATGCCAGGCTCTCCTGGAATATTTTTTGTGGCTGCCTTTACAGCACTTTGTGTATCCTGTGGCTCTTGAGGTCACTTACTCTCACAAAAAGTGGGAAAAGCAGGAGGTTCAAGCAAATCAGAAGAGTATGGTCTTACATAGTTTGCATTTGTATGAGGTATAAGGTTTCTTATTATATTGTACTGATCTAATTAGCATTTGATTTCCTTTCTATCTCCCTCTTCCTCTTTTTCCTGGGTTGCCCTGAAACAAAGGATGATTTCTTTTCTTTTCTGTACTGGCCTAACCATTGCTTCTCATGCGCACAGGTCTACAATATTGATTGCAGGACCGTGGAGTGATACCTCCACTAGCTGCAAAAACTATCCTGGGAGTAGTATTGCTAACTAGCCCCACTGGTGGCTGTGGCTAATTAACCCTGGCACGCTGCTATGGCCATCTTGCTTGTGGGATCTGAACCTATACATCTGCACGGTGCTGTAGATATGGCTGTGGAGCACAGGGTAGCAAGAGCCAGTGATCCTGAGGTTCATGTGTATGTTAACTTCCATTTTCAGGGATGGGTAGATACTTCTATCCAGCCAGATAAGCTGCTTGTTTAGGAAATAATGTATCTTACAAGATGACTAACAAGGTTTAAAAAGGAGGTTTACAAATGAATCATTAATCCAATCTCATCCCAGAGAGCTCTGAGAAGTTGAGATGAACATAAATGGAAAACTCCGTTGCCCTTACCATTCTTACACACAATATTTTATCTGGCTTGCTTTGGAAACACTTTCTTAGATAATAGTTCCTAGGAGGAAAAGCCTTCATACCATAGCCACTTCGGGACAGCAGAAATACTATCTATTTGTACTATTTGATTCTTTAAGTTGTTTAGTCTTAATGCAGAGCTGTAGGACTGGCTCCCACCAGACTAAGGATTTCAGCTGAATGACTGTGCCACACACTGTGGAAGAGAGACAGTTAGTATCTAAATTGAAAACAGATTCTTATCCCAACGTCTGTCTTGGCAATATTTCTCTCCACCCATACAGATCTAAGGCATGTTGTATTCTCTGATGCCCCTCAACTGGTGGGTGGTCCTAGCTGGTCCATTAGTGTCTGCTCAAAAGCTTTCTTGGTTTTGTGGATCTAAACAGAACAATTTTTTACTTATGATGTTGAATATGGACAATGGAAATGTATGAGTCTGTGTGAAGGTGACTACGCAAATCCTTCAGTCAGCCATAAAGGTCATCTCCTTTATGCTTTGACTAAAGGTACACCGGCATTGCAGCCATGAGTGAGCTTTCAGCTAGTCCAGTCACCCAGCAGGAACAAGGTAGGTGCAGTTCAGTGCAACGTCACTGGTTCCAGCTGTACGGGCAGGATTGTACACTCTTTGCTGAAGTCTGTTGGAAATCAGTTTGCCCCCTATTCTCAGCAGAAGAATACTTCTTAGTTGCTCAAGACAGCTGCCTCAGTTTTGGGTGCCTCTGTTATTCTTACTGTCAGAGCCCTTCTTGAAAATGAGATGCAGAGTCCTAAGTCACCTGGGTATTTTTTGGCAACATTTTTTTCCCCACATTATTCAGTTCATCACAAAAACTTGGAAGGTGCTGATGCTCAGTATTTTAATACAGTATTTTAAACCATGGTTTGCATCAGTTTAAACCAGAAATGAGGTATTGACAATCAATGCTATGAGGGAAGTGGGAATGAGGGGGAAATGGGATCCAGATTGTTTCCTTTGGATTCATAAGTTTTCTCAGGCATTCTCAATTATTCTGATGCATTTTTGTTGCTCCTTGCCCTACTAGTGATAATGAAGTGATTGGTTAGTTGTTCCAAGGCATGAGCCAACATCATATTTATAAAAAGAAGTGTCAGAGTGTTGAGCTAATTGAGGGATTCAAATGGCCAAATGTTCTGGGAGCACGAAATAATTGCACACAAAGCACAAACAAGTCTTGAACAAAATGGAAATATCCTCCCTGAAAAAGCATTATGTAGGCAATTGACTGAGGAACATTTCCATCCGCTGTCTGTTTCTGAATAGTGAAGACAATTAGTAAGCCAAAATGCTAGGTCTGCATTAGCAATTATATCTTCCCAATTATTAGATTTTTTTTTCCTGAGGGACAATGTTTGTTCTAGTTCAAACTGAAAAGTCCAATCTAATATGGATCTTGCTAAGCTCTTGGAAATCTTTTACACCCATGGTGCCTTTATTTTTGCCCCTCTTGCATCTGGATTTAATTATTACATTTCTTAAAAACAAGAACCAGCTGCAGTGCTGAAAGCGCTGTGGAGCCTGTAGTCATATTCTGTTTCTCCAGACCCTTCTGCTGGTATGGGAGCAAGATGGGACTGAAGATGGAAGACAATCCATATACATAGGGTATGAGTTTACTCCTGTATTACGTTCAAACAGTTCCGCCTGTCAAATTGCAGCATCTCCTGATCTGTGCCTGCATAAGAGGGAAGAATCAGTCTCCATTCCTTCCCTGCTGCCAGCTAGCAGTAGTGGTGCAGCCGTGCCAGGGTAGGTATGGTTGCTGTAACCTTGCCTCTTCTGGCTTGCTTTTCCCAAAAGAAGAGTGCTGTGCTGGTAACATGCACAGAGCGGATTCTGTGGTTGCATCTGCACCAGCCAACTGAAGGAGGGCAAGACATGGTTTCAGGCACTGGCTTATGATCATCCGTACTGACTGGCGGTTCATTTTCTGCCTTGATTTTGCGCTTTGAATGATTATGATTCTCCCGATGATGTCCAGGCAGAGCTCAGAGCACGGCATCTGTTAGGACGTGTTCCCACAAGGCAGTCTGTATGGAACTGCTCTTTTCTGGGTGAACACAGAGAGAGCTTCAGCACGTGGATATGGGCTGTGTTATGCTACATGGCCAGCAGGTCTCACACTGCTTTATTCAGTAATTCAGATGTAGCCATTGACTCTCTCATCTAATGGTAAGAAAACATGGCATGTTTCTTTAGTTAGTACTGGAACTTGTGACTTTCCTGTGAATGTATAAGAGCACAAAGGGTCTCTTTCTTCCACAATAAAAGGCTCCCTTGGATCCACACCGGTGTTTGTTATTTCCAGAGTTTTCTCTTGAGTGCTGGGGTACATGAAGGGACGTGGAATGAGGGTTAAATGATCTACATTAAGATATTTCAACCTTTGTTATATTTGTTATACTCATGCCTACCAGTCTCGGACCAGAAATCTCATTATATTTGATCCAAAACAAACCCAGAACAAAAAGATGGTGCTTGCCTCTAGAACCGTTGTAAAAAAGGAGACATCTGGTGCACTCGGGGAACTGAATCTGAAGAACAGTGCTCAGAGTAGCATTTATGGCACATCAGCTGCCAAGTCACTGCTAAGCTTAGTGTCAGCTGAGACTTGGTTGTGGATGGCCAGCAGTGTTATGCTCTTTGCTGCTAGAGGGAGAGTCAAAAGGTGTGCTTCCTTCCAGGTCTGAGAAGGATCCTCAGTGGGCTGCATGGATGCTCAGATATAAGGTCAAAGATCAAACATTATGATGTTACTTACTAGGTTCTCACTTCAAAGATCTGTTCAAGAGAGTAAAAGCGAGTGCAGCCTGGGTGTAGTTGAATCATAAAAACTCATGACAAAATGAAAGTTAACTTAATTAACCTAATATCTCAAATCTACCTGCAAAAACGCAAAGTTCTATCCTGTGTCATAAACACCTGCATTTTGTGTAGAAGGGTGATTTTTGATGCCAAAAGGCA